GTTCCTCAGTATGTAAATGGCATCAGGCAGAGAGAGAGCCACGTCAGCCCCTCACACTTCCTCTTCTATCTCTCTCTTACCTTCTCTCTCTCTCTCTGCCTCTGACAGTCATTGACATGAACAACATTGAATGAGGCCACTTGGCCTCTCGTGTCTGTGTTGGACAAAAAAGATCTGATGACGCTAATCCCATTTTCCATCTCTTGGCCCATAGCCCTGGAGGCTACAGCAACACAAGTGAGTATCTAAACCCTGCTCCAATGTTCCAAGAGTGTGTGACATAACCAGCCTTTCAGGTAGTGAATCCCAGACTTCCACCACCCTCTGGGTGAAAACATTTCTCCTCAACTCTCCCCTCAGCCTCTACCTCGACTGGGCCTGGATTCACTCGAGTTGAGAAGGATGAGAGGGGATCTGATGGAAACGTATAAAATTCTAACAGGGCTGGACAGACCCGATGCAGGGAGGAGGTTTCCCCTGGTTGGGGAGTCTAGAACCAGGGGACACAGTCTCAGGGAGATACGGGGTAGACCATTTAGGACTGAGATGAGGAAATATTTCTTCACTCAGAGGGTGGTCAACCTGCGGAATTCTCTCCCACAGAAGGGAATGGGATTGTGAGAGAGGATCAGCCATGATCATATTGAATGCCAAAGCAGATTCAAAGGGCTGAATGGCCTGCTCCTGCTCCTAGTTTCTATGTTTCTATGTCTGTGTTACTTTCAATCTCTGTCGCTGGATATTAGCCCCTCTCTGCATGGAAAAAATGCCTTCCTATCCTCCCTATCCCTCCTCCACAATCTTATAGCCCCCCATCAGGTCCCCTCTCAATCTTCACTGCTCCAAGGAAAACAACCCCAGCCTTTCCATTCTTTCCTCATAGCTCAGACTCTCCAGGCCAGGCAGAATCCTGGGAAATCTCCTCTGTACTGTCTCAAATACAATCACATTCTTCCCATAATGTGGTGACCAGGAACCACCACCCTGCTCCCCCCCCCCCCCCCCCCCCCCCCCCCCCCCCACCAACCCCCACTCTCTCTCTCTCTCTATCGCACTCTCTCTGTGTCCTTCTCTGTCTCACACCTGCCATGTCTAACTCTCTATCTCTCTCTCCCACTTAATCTCTCTTATATTCCCTCTCTCTCTGTCTCTTAGCCGCTGTTTCCAACTCACTCACACTTCCTCACTCGATCTCAGAATCTCTATTCCTCTATCTCTCATTGTCTCCCTCACTTGCTCCCTCTCTCACTTCAGTTAAAAGCCTTAAACTGTTATCTGTCCATCTCTATACCTCTGTCTTTCTCTCTTCCTCCCTCTCTGCCTCCCAAACTACAGTCTCTCTCCCTCCCTCTCTGTCATTCTGTCTCAGCACTAATCATGTCTCTCTCTCTCTCTTTCTCAGGCTCTTGATTCCTTTCACCTTTGGTCTCACACCCACCCTTGTTTCTTTCTCTCTCACCCTGTCTCTTTCTCTCTCCCTGTCTCTTTCTCTCTCTCTCTTTCTCCATCTCTCTCAGTCTTACCATCTCAGACTCCATTTCTCTCTCTCTCTAGCCCTCAACCTCACAAGCTCTACCCACCTCTAACTCCCTCTCAGTCCCTTCACATATCTCACACTGTCTCAGATGCTCCTCCCTACGTCCCTCTCTCTCACACACACCCTCACACTCTCCCTCCATCTCTCTCCCTGTCTTGCTTCTGTCTTCTTCCCACAGTGTCCCAGGTGGTGACAGTTAAATGCAAGGTACATCTCCCTCTGCTCTGCCCCACTAATGGATATTACCCCTTGACCCCTGAAGCATGTCTTCTCCTGGAGTAAGGCCCCATTTCCCACATAACCAGGCTTTGGTCTCTCTCTCAGGAAGATGGACAGATTCTTGTCAAATGAAGGGCAGTTCTGTGCTGTTAGTCTATTCTCACTGGGGACTGGTTTAGACACAAACCTTTCTTTCAGTTGTTCATGGCATGTGGGCGTCGCTGGCTAGGCAGCATTTATTGCCCATCCCTCATTGCCCAGAGGGCAGTTAAGAGTCAACCACATTGCTGTGGGTCTGGAGTCACATGTCGGCCAGACTAGGAAAGGATGGCAGTTTCCTTCCCTAAAGAACATTTGTGAACCAGATCGGCTTTTCCAATAATTGACAATGGGTTCATGATCATCATTAGGCTCTTAATTCCAGATATTTATTAAATCCAAATTCTGCCATCCGCTGTGGCCACATTTGAACCTGGATCCCTAGAACATTACCTATGTCTCTGGATGAACAGTCCAGCGATGATACCACTATGCCATTGCCTCCCCTATGAAGGTCCAGCAGAGAGAGGAGATCCTCAGGCCATCAGTGTGAGCTGAAGGGGCAGAACAGGCTCTGACCCACTGACCCATCCTGTCCATTGACAACATGTTCCAATCCCTTCCCCTCTCCTTCCCCTTCCATGGTCAGGCTCTGGATCAGGGTGTTTTACTGGGATGAGGGCTGGGACATCTCGCAGTTACAATGGAAAGAAACTGAGCCCCACACCCACCATGGTGTCCATGTCCCATTGGACCCTCAAATAGTGACGGGTAAACATGGAATTCAGTCCATGGGACTGCCCAGTAGAGAAACTTGGACCACCTTCCCACTGGGCCCTCAAATACAGACCAATAAACATGTGACTCCTTCCCATTGAACCCTCCAGGATCTGACCTTCAAACTCCACATTGTCTCCATCACGTAGGCCTCTTATTTCCATCTCCACAACATTATCTGTCTCTGCATTATATCAGCCCCTTAACCACAGAAACTTTTATTCCTGCTCATCCCACCTCCTAACTCCATGCCTCCGATGTCCTCTCCCAGCTTCTTCCATCCACGCTCCATAAACACCAACTTGTCTGAAATGGAGTGATCCCTCCCCTGTCTCACACCAAGGGGGAGATGGACAGATTTTTAATGAGTACTGGGTTAAAGGCTGATGGAGAGGGGGCAGGAAAGTGGAGTTGAGGCTGAGATGGGACCAGCCATGATCGTATTCAATGGTGGAGCAGGCTCGAGGGGCTGAATATCCTGCTCCTGCACCAAGTCCTTATCCCCTCCCCCATCCCTCTTACTGCAACTTTGTGAAACATCTGGGAATGTTTTGGACATTGAAGGCGCTATGTGAATTTAGGTTTTGTGTGGATTTCATGTGGGGACAGAATTGTGCAGAGGGGTGATAGCTCCCGCAGTTGAATGTCCTGCTGACAGGCTGTCTTGGATCACAAAGCACATCCAAGCAGTTATAAGATATAAAAGTGTGGAGCTGGATGAACACAGCAGGCCAGGCAGCATCAGAGGAGCAGGAAAATTGACATTTTGGGTTGGGACCCTTCATCAGAAATGGGGGAGGGGTAGGGAGCTCTGAAATAAATAGACAGAGGAGGGATGCGGCTGGGGAAGGTAGGTGGGATGGTGATAGGTGAGTGCAGGAAGGCAGTGGTGGGAATTGGCCAGTGAGGTGGGTGGATAGGTGGGAGAGAAGATGGACAGGTTGCGTCAGGTCAAGGAGGTGGGGATGAGAGTGAGGGTTGGTCACGGGATGAGGCTGAGGGTGGGGAGATTTTAAAACTGGTGAATTCCATGTTGAGGCCATCGGGCTGTAGGCTCCTGAGGCGGAATATGAGGTGCTGCTCCTCCAGTTTGTGAGTGGTGTCATTGTGACACTGGAGGAGGCCCAGGATGGACATGTCACCCACGGAGTGGGGTTGTGGGGGGGAGCGGGGGAGTTAAAATGGTTCGCGGCCGGAGATTGTTGTCGTTTGTCGCAAACAGAGCACAGGTGCTCTACAAAGTGGTCTCCAAGCCTCTGCTTGGTCTCACCGATGGAGAGGAGGCCACTTTGGGAACAATGGATGCAGTGGACCACATTGACGGATGTGCACGTGAACCCCTGTCTAATGTGGAAGGTTTGGTTTGAGCCTTGGAGGTGAGGGGGGAGGTGTAGGGGCAGGTGTAGCACTTCCTGCGGTTGCAGGGAAAGGTGCTGGGGTTGGTGGAGAGCGTGGAGCAGATCAGAGAATCTCAGAGAGAGCGGTCCCTATGAAAGGCAAATGGGGGTGGGGAGGGAAACATCTCATTGGTTGTCGGTTCAGATTGCAGGTGGCGGAGAATGTTACATTGGATACGGAGGTTGGTGGGGTGCGGTGTGTGAGGACAAGGGGGATCCCGTCTTTATTTTTGTTGGTGGGAGGGGATGTGAGGGCAGAGGCATGGGAAATGCAAGAGATGCGGTCGAGAGCATTTTCAACCACCGAACGGGGAAAGTTACATTCCTTGAAATGGGAGGACATCTGGGATGTGCAGGAGTGGAACACCCCATCTTGGGACCAGACGTGGCAGAGGCAGAGGAATTGAGAGTAGGGGATCGCATTCTTGCAGGAAGGTGGGTGAGAGGAGGTGTAGGCTAGGTAGCTGTGGGAATCGGTGGGCTTGAAATAGATGTCGGTTTCGAGGTGGTCGCCAGAGATGGAGACAGAGAGGTCCAGGAAGGAGAAAGAGATATCAGAGATGGTCCAGGTGAATTTGAGGTTGGGGTGAAAGGTGTTAGTAAAGTTGATGAACTGTTCAAGCTCCTCAGGGGAGCATAAGGCAGCGATGATACAGTCATCAATGTAGCAGAGGAAGAGGTGGGGGATAGTGCCAGCATAGCAGTTCTTCAGTTAAGTGTAATTAAGAAAAGAGTCGACAACACAAATTTACTTAAATATGAACATTTATTCAGTTCAGTCAATAAAAAGAATGAAAAAGTAAGGAAAGAAAACAATAAGCCTCAGGCCCTTCTGCCCATCAGGGTCCCCTTGATCAATGGCTGGCCTCGAGGCTTAGATTCGTTCCTGGCACCATTCGTGATCCTGGTCTGAGGTGAAGTCCAACCACTCGGAATGAAACTCTCTCTCTTATGCAGTGTAACAAACAGCAAGTACAGAAAAACAAATATAGTAAAACACATTGATTGCGCCGATTTCGGCACATAGAGGAAGTTCACAGGACCCATTCAAGATCATGCAGCTGTCGAACATCATCATCAATTTTAGCCCTTCCTGTACATAGAATGGGGAAGTGGGGGAGGTAGGAATGTGCTGTCGGGATCCATGGAACTGCCCCCCAACAATGTGGGTGACTATTAACTGCTCTCTGAAATGGCCGAGCAAGGCACTCAGTTGTATCAATCGTGATGACGTCTCAACAAA